CTAGGTCCCTTCCGACCCTTAATCTATGAAACTATGAAAAAAAATAGAGTCACTAAAGTAAGCACAATAAAATGTGCAGATAAGATAAATAAGAGAAGCTAGAAAGAAAGTAATAAGGTCACTGATTTTAGAAGTGTGAAACAAACTTAATGAAAACTTCTGAAAATCCTGAAGAGTGGAAATAACCAGAAGTAATGGAAAGACAATATTTTTTAAAAAGTGAAAAACCTCACTGCATTTCAAAGCTGGAACAGAAAACTTTGGACCCAGTGTTCACCATCCTGTATTTGAAGAAGGCAGCATATAAAGATTGTGATGACACTGTAGGTTGAAAAAAACTGTACAATAGCCTTCTTCTCCTCAATTATGCTATCACTACTAGCTACATCTACCTACACACAGAGCTGGACACACTTAACATCTTTCAGTTTGGGCTTATATGAAGAATGGAAAGTTATGCTTGAAACGCTACAGGGCAATGTAGGAGAAAGGGACTTTCCACCTCCTCGCAGATAATAAAAATATATGTTCTATTTGGTTACTTGCTGTTTGGTTTTACTACCAAGAATTTAAAAAATGATTGCCCCTGAGGGCTGTTATTTAGGCTAATAGCTCCTGTGATCATTTCTGTAATGATCATTCCTGACACCAAAATAAAGTGTGAACTTACTTGGATGGTAGATTCATCTAAGTATTGTATTTTTTTACCAGCAGGACAACAAAGCAATGATATCAGTCTGGATGTGTTTTTATACCAATAGGTATTGCCTGTTCAAGGGTGTGTTTTTGTCCAAATGATTTGTTTCTGGAAGAACAAAGATATCTCATTGTTCCCTTTTACAATAGACTCCCCCTACATTTGTCTAGCATAGATTAAAGAGAGAGATCATCCTACACATTTCAGATCCCATTATTTAGTAGGTAAATTCAGTACTTGGACTTATCATACCTTACTAAGCTGTTAGCACTGTCGGGATCTTGTGCTGTCACTGTGCCAACAACAGTCCTGGTCTTTGCATTTTCATAAACTTCCATAATGTAGGAAGGCATGGTGAAAAGTGGAGGTTCATCCACATCTCCAACAATGATCTTCAGCATAGTTACATCCTTAAATGGTCCCAAATGTGAGAAGCGAATGTCAAGATGGGTATTTGCACCTTCTATATTAAGTGTATAGGATTTCTTCTTTTCATAGTTGAGTGGCTGTGAAAGAAAAGAGACATGACATTACCATAGTATGCTTTGACTTAAATTGCTCACAATAAAATTTTCTTTTCAACTTGTTGGAAAGACTGTAACCTATGGGACAGCTGTTCTAAGATGGTAGACACTTCTACATTTAGCAATGTGTAGATACACATAGTAGAAAGCAAAGATCTCTCAGGAAACACAGACCAGAGTATAACAGAAAGTAGTTACTGCAGATTCACACCAAAATCAAGCTGCCTTTGGGATTCACCATGTGAAATCAAATCCTGAATAGAAAAGGCATTGGAGAAAAATGGCCCACCAGCCAACAGAATTCCAGGTGCCCCAGAGTGACCAGAATTTTTTAGAGGATTCTGGTGACTCATGAGAATGCTGACTGGGGGGTCAGGTGGTGGTAGTTAGAAGTGATTTAGGAAGTTATCTAGGGGATATATTTTGTCTTTGGATGATTCCAGGCTTGGGCAAACTAAGGTTCCTAGCTGTCATGGCTGGCAGAATCAGCAGGAAGGCTGATCTCTAAAAATATTGACAGCAGTCTTAGGAGAGGTAGGGTATAGCCAAATGAGAAGGTAAGAAACTTTTCTTGTCTTTTTATTTCTATCTCCAAACCCATGGTCAGTTTTGCTTGTGTCATTATTCTCTCTTATATTATCACTCCATTTGCTGTTTTGTCTTCTTACTGTGGCAAAAGTGATTGCTGGGTGACCGATTCCAGTTTAACCCTTTCTATGAAAAGGGGAACCTACAATTTCTTTCACAACCCAACAGGGTGGCCATCCAGGGCTGGCAGAGATTCTCTTATAGCAGCTGCAGAGTCCAGTAAAAGGGCAGTGGAGTTGAGGCTTGCTGGGATAAGGAGAGATCTTAAGGCGATTTTGGTCTGTGGGGCAAGTGGCAGCACAGTCGGGAGAATTTCTGGGGGTGCCCTGTGGATGGGTTTGTGATAGGTGCCATTTGTGAACAGTTGATCTTCATTCTGGGATAATGTGAATTTTTTTTATTTACATATTTTTTTAGCTTTTCCCTCTATTGTCCAACATTAAAAACAGTTAGAGAAAGACTGTGAATATGCAGATCAAATTGCTTCACCACTAATTAATTTGTGTGTTTAAGTGAGAATGCATTTTAACCCATTTCCTAAGTACCTGATTCATAAAGTGTCCCTGTCTAGGAAAGCATTCATGTATATTGTTAAAAGGGGAAATTTTAGCAGGTGCTTAAATTTAAGCATGCACTTGAGTGATTCTCAGAATAGGTATAAGTGTACGATCACATGCTTCCTGGGTCTAATGCCTGGGAGTAATAGAACTCATAGGAAATTACCAGGATGGAAATAAGAAATCGGGCTTCTTTACCAAAGGCAAGACAATCAGACAGACCACTCTTATCTCTCGTTCTGAGTGGACAATTTCTTCTGTAGAAGCCCAGTTTCTGACCTTCTGTACATGTTCTAATTTAAAGTTTCCTTCTTTTTCTCAATTCTGAGCATCTCCTTGAATATTACATAGAAATTAAACTATAGTAAGATATTAATAACTTTGCAGTCACATACTTAACATTAGGACATATAAAATTGAAAGCTGCCTGTACAAATTGAATTTTAGCTACTTGTGCATGAGTAGTATGCTACAACTGCAGTAACATTTCTGATTATTGGAGTAATATCATTGAAATAAAAAAGAAAGAAATTCCAGAATGTGGTCGACTGCGTTTAGTTCTGTCATCAGATGAAAGGTTTTACTCACAATAGTTGAATAAGACAAAACTTTCTTCAGACAGCTTTTTAGTTATCAATTTCAATCATTTGTATAAATAGACAAGATGCTCATATCTTTTTGTCCTCTGTCTTTCATAATATCAAAGAATTTTGCAATGTAGGGGAGTCACAACTGCCCCATTCTGGTCTCAATTCAGCAAAGAATGTAAATACTGTAGTTCTATTGACTTAAAGCCTGGAAAATACCTATGGAACCATCATTAGTTTAGACCCATCTTGCTCCCACCTGTTGAAAGTTTATCATTGATTTAAATGGATTTAGATTCAAGGATTTGGCTAGAAGGGTCACTGATCACTGCTAAATTTATTCTGATGGACAGCAAATGGCTGACATACTTTGTACTGACTCAAGACAGAAGCTACTGATTTTCTCAAAAAACTTACCAATGCCTTCATTTCTACATTCTCTGAAGCTTCCAACCATCAGTTACCTGGACATTCACAATCAATGATGAAATATTATTATTTACTTCGGTACTTCAGTCAGAGTAAGACTCTAGTCAACCTAATTTACAACCTAATGAATGGTAATTTTTGAAATGTGCAGAGTACAAATAAAAGTTTCAAGTGGGAATTGCCTGTTTCTGAAGAATGTGCATAGTTTTCAGCTAGAACCAAAGGCTACACTTTCTTGGACTAGGATTGCACTCGACTGATTGTGGGAACTGATTGCAAGAATCTGGATAAACTTAATGAGACATGTATTTACTGGAGTTATCCTAAGAAAAAAACACTAAAACTAAGGCTAAATTAAAGAAATAGGTGTTAAGTGCAATGCCTTTCTAATTTCTGGAATTTTTACTCACTGTGTTTCTAACAAAAGATATAGAAGGTCCTAGAAAATCTCATACATTGTGACTTAAGAGGATGAGACTGTAATTATTTAGCCAATTATCATGGCCTTAATCCAAAAAAGAAAGAGGGACTCTAAAAGTATGTCAACAGTAATAGAAACTATAGGCCCCCCACCGAATGTGGAAAGTAATTTAGTTACAGATGATGCAGAAAAAGCTGAAGTATTTTTATTTCCATCTGCACAAATGAGGGCAGCTACCAGATGATCAGAGCAATCAGCAACAAATATAGGGAAGGAGTCAAGCATCCCATAGTAATGGCAAAAAGTACAGGGATTACTTAGGTAAGATGGATGCTTTCAAATTGGCAGGGCTGGATAGAATGCACTGTAGGATACTGAAGGAATTGGCTGAAGTAATTTCAGAGCCATCGGATACGCTTTTTGGGAATATGTGAAGGTCAGATAAGGTCTCAGATAATTGGTTAAAAGGGCAAATACAGAGCTCATCTTTAAGAAAGAGAAGAAAGAGGTTCTGAAAAATTACAGAACAGTTGACCTTGACACCTGGAAAGATCATGAAGCAGATCCTTAAGGAATATATTGTGAAGCATCTAGAGAAGAAGCAGGTGATCAGGAACAACCAAGAGGAAGTCATGCCTGCCTTACCCAATTTCCTTCTATGATGAAGTGATAGACTTTGTAGATTGCAAGGCACCGTCTTTGACTATCTCCTACAACATTATCACAAGCTGTGATGCTGGGTTTTGAATTGCCAGGTCTGGTGACACTTGAACATTGAGGTGTTGACCAGAGTCAGGAGGAATGATCAGAATTCAGGTACAATCCAGGTCAGAAAGCCAAGAAGTCAGTTTGCGACTGGGGTCTAAGAACAAGCTAAGTGGGAAAGCCAGGAAATCAGGCAGAGAGCAGAATCAGAGAAAAAGCTAGGTCAAGAAGCCAGGAGACCAAGCAGAGAACAGAGCTAGAAAGTAAATCAGGATGAGAAGTCATGGGATCAAGCAGAGAACAGAGTCACAGCACAAGCCAGAGGGAACAGTGAAGCAATCTGAGATGAGGTTGCTCTCTGTTGCCCAGACACTTCCTGTTTCAAGTCAGGGGTTTATATGGTGGAAACAGATGGTCAGCTGACCCTGGCCATCCACTCCAGTGCCAGTGAGTGGGGCAGAGAGATAGGCCCTGTTGGGAGCTTCAGGCTAGACTTGACTTACCTGGGTGACCAGCTGTAGGGCAGCAGACTGAGATGAGTGGTCACGCAGGCCAGGCCAAGACCTCAGGTTTGAGGCTGTGGCCTGAAACATGCTAAGGATATACAGAGTAGATGAAAATAATGTAAGGTGGGTACACAACTGGTTGAATCATTATGCTCAATGAGCAGTCATCAATGACTAGCTGGAAAGAATTATCAAATACAATTTCCCTGGGGTCCATCCTGGAGCTGGTATTGTTCAACATCTTCCTAAATGATTTAGACAATAGGATTGAGTGCATGCTTAGCAAATTCGTACACGACCCCAAGTAGGGTAGTTTCAGATATAACAGAGTACAGAGCTAGGATCCAGAATGACCTGGACAGACTAGAAAAATGGTCTGTAATTAATCAGATGAAATTCAGCAAGGACAAGTGCAAAGTCCTGCAGTTAGGAGAGAACAATTGCATGCAGAAATGTAGACTGGGGAATGATTGGCTTGCCTGCAATACTGAAGTGAAGGACCTGGGGATTACCGGGGGGGGGGGGGGGGGGGGGGGAAAGCTGAATATAAGCCAATGGTATGTTCCTATTGGAAAAAAGTCAACAGTATCCTGGGTTGTATTAACAGAAATGTCACTTGTAAATCAAAGAAAATAATTCTTACACTCTATTTAGCATTTGTGAGGCTTCGCCTGGAGTACCGTGTCCAATTTGGACTCCACACTTCAAGAAGCATGTGGCTAGATTGGACAGAGTTCAGAATTCATAAAAATAATGAGAGGCATAGGAAGAGGATTTATGAGGAAAGTTGGAAATAGCTAGTGTTATTTTTCTGGAGACAAGAATATTGAGGGTGGATTTGATAATAGTCTTCAAACACCTGAAGGGAAATTATAAAGTGGATGGAGATGGACCTTTTCTGTGGCTGTTGGAGATCAGACTAGGAGCAATGGCCTCATGATGCAGCAGAGGAAATGTAGGTTAGAGATTAGGAGGAACTTTAACTCTGAGGGTGGTCAAAAAGCACTGGAACAGGCTACCTAGAAAAGTAGTGGAATCTCTAACCCTGGAAATTTTCAAGAGCAGATTAGACAGACACTTGCCTGAGATAGCTTATGCAGGGACCTTGACCAGAAAGCTGGACCATGTGACATCTCTTCCAGCCCTACTTTCCTATGATCAGACAGGAACAATATTCAGAGAAGCTTAT